TAGATTTCCACAAACCTTGTCCAGTAACTTTGACAGTCACCTCATTGGCCAGTAGTGAATCACTCAGCAGCCCATTCTTCCAACAAATACAGTGTCCTGCATTAAGCTGGGCATATTGTCACACTAAAAATGTAAGATGCCTAGAGAAGGTAAATGACTTTATTAAATTCATAGAATCATTAGTGACTGATCTCTTAAGCCAGCATTTCTTGACTCTCAGGTAAGTTTATTTCTGTTTCCCCATGTGTTTCTCCCCTTTCTACCCCAAACACTACACAGGCAGGGTCCCCACAGAGAACAGATGACATTCTCAAGTTACAAAGTCGAGGGAAAGCTTAAAAAGGAGACTGTTTGCCACATTGTGAGTGGGATGCTGGAGGCCACAAGAGATAGCAGGGTGCCCTTGACGGTAATCACAGAACTGTTGCCAAAACTAAAACCCAGAAAAGAGAATCTTGTAGATGGGGCTATTTTGGCAAGAGTAGTTACCTTTAACAGAAAACAGCCCCCACACTCTTCAACGTGGAAGCCCAAAATACTGACCACATTCTCCTTCTCTCTGATCATACGTCAGGTTTTCCCATTGACATAATCCAAATGAAGTCAGAAGCAAGGGAGCAAGTTACTTTAACAGTCTCCTGAGCAAAGGGCAGGGTAGAGAGGGTTGAAGGACAGGCATGGAAATGCAGACAGACTTCAGCACGGTAGCTTATTCTGAGTTCTCCAATAGAAATACTCGCTTACCTCCTCAAATATCAGGGGACTTCTGGCTCTTGCTTTTTCCAGCATCCTGGTTATCATCACTTCTTTGGGCTTCTGGTTAACAAGTTACTGTTTGCTGCTGTTTCTCTCATTCCCCGCGATGTGAGGGTATCAGCGTCTCCCATAGGATGCTGATTTCTTACATCTGAAGTACCTCTCATTACTTGCAGTACTGGATAAACAACCACTTGGTAAACTGCTCCAGTGTTTCCATAAGACTGTCCCATCCTAGTAACTATGCTATAGTTCTTTCAGGATATGAAATACAGCTCACAGTCTTTGGTTTGTTTGACAAAGGAAGCTTGTCTAGTGTCAATAGTGAAGCACACTCTGGGCTCCCCCAACAAGGCATGATAGTTTTAAGCAAACCCGAACTGCCACAATCTGATTCTCCCCCTAAATTCCTCAAAGTGTCCAAGGAGATACCTGGCAAAAGCATGAAGAGCATAAGTTTTGCATCACTGGGGTTTCCTGACACAAAGGGATGCGTGTGCAAAAGGAGCCCAAGGGTATCACCCTTTATCTCCAAGTAGTCTGTGATGAAGGAAGCCACTCCGGTGTAAATGTGCAGTTTATGCTCTGGTATTGCTTCTGGGTCAAGTTATGCCAGCGGTATATAGAATTAGACATAAATCTCCAAATTAGAATAAAATACTTTTACAGAGAGGTACTAGAACTGTCTACAGGCAAGCTGGCTGGATTTACACCTTCTGCTCAAAGGCGTTAACTCCCAGATGGCTGATGTCCTTAAGTACTGTGTTTGCTTCCATTTCCACGACTGTGTTTGCTTTCTCTTCCCACATCTGTGTTCATCTTAGGGCCCAGCTGTTGACAGTTACATTGATTTATCAGCATCAGAGTCTAACTGGAAGCTTACTATTATTTTCCTCATGGGCTTGCCAGCCTGCACCCATGACCTTTTTCCTATCATAATGTCATTTAGAAAAGATCAGATTGCTTGGTTTCAAAAGCTACATGCAAAACAGTATTAAATAAATTAGAAGTCTGTTAATGCTATCAGCATTATTTTTTAAGCTCAGATGAGCTCTGATGGGTAATTGCCCTCATTTTATGTTTTCTCACCATTCTTCGCTTGCATTTCAACATTATAATCACTTTTTCTTCTAAAAAGGACAGGACAGGATTAAAAGATAAATAGAAAAAAGCATTTTTATCTATTCATAAAGTCAGTTCACAATTACTGTTGTTTTTTTCCCTGAAGACGCAATTCACATGAGAGGTCACTTTGGAATTTGGAGGTGCCCACTTCTCCATGTTCAAACTGGTGTGCAGATAATGCTCTCCGCCACTCCAATAGGGACACCCCATGCCCACCTCCAGCCTTGTCAGCCTTCCTTTGTAAAAATGTAAACCTCAGTATGTTTAGAATTTCTCCTTTTTTTCTAGCTTCATATTTGTCCAGTGGTCTGAATGAGATTTTGAAATCTGCCTGACAGTACTTGTTCCTTGTGCTTTTTAGTTTCTTATCCAGGAGGTGTTTGGAGGATTGAAATTTTCCACCGTGAAGTCATACACCTTTAGCTCGACCTTGATTTTTTTTTTCTCCTCTTCACTAATGAGACCCTGGGTAGCTCTTTTTTAAGGAAACTGCTTTTGTATGGTTGGCCAAATTAAATTGATCATAGCTGACTATGGGTAATCTATTGTTTTATTTATTTACATTTCTCAGTACATTCAAAAGCCTTGAGGAAAATTCTTAGTTTTGTTTTTTGTTTTTGGTGTCACGATCAAGAAGATTTTACTTTATTCTTTCCTGTCACCTGCTGGAGGCAATGACCTTGTATTTATTTTAGCAGTGAACTGAATATAACATGATCGCTTTCTCTGCAAAAGCTGTGGCATGGCCGAACAGCAGCTTAAAGGTCAAATATTACAAGGCCTAGTAAACACAACTATATATTCTGCCCCTAAGTCTGACCTTGACCTAACAGTACGAAAAACTGATTAAAAAAAAATGGCTCCCCTGATAATTGCTGTATTTTTTCCAGAGAACAATGTATTTCAGAAACATTCAGTAACATAGTAGCAGAAAAGTAAATTATTAGTGGTAATTACTAAACAGATTATTAGTAGCCACTTAATACCTCAATCCATCCATCAAAAATTGTCAATCCACTAATATTTGATGGGTGCACACTATGTACTTGACGCTGCACTGATAGAAAACTGCATCTGAATTTTGAGTCCTGCATGATGTCAAACTAGTTCAGGGTTAGTTATTGAGAAAACACCTTCAAACTGTAGTGTATTTAAATGTATTCTCTGTTATTTGGTCCATACATGAGTAATGATTCCGGGAAGCCCAGCATATTCTACGATTAGGCAATTCAGAATGTTGACATTGCCTTTAACTTTTTTTAATTTGTTAGGGGTAGCGGGGAATAGTAACGGAAAGGCTAAAATTCAGTGCCCACTATTCACCAAAGACTCATGGCTTATTCTGGCAGAAACCTCTGCCATTTTCATTCTCCACCCTACAGAGAAAATTGGAGCATATTGAGAACAATCATATCTGGTTAATCATGTTTTAGAAAGTAAAAATAGTATTTCTCATGTTTAGTTTTTAATATGCACGGGAATCATCGGAAGCTAAATGACAACACTAGGTAAATAATGAGTAACACTGCACATTTATAGATGTGCCAACTACGCTTATCTCACAAGGCCTGTAAGAGCTCTGTTCACTAGGCAGGTCACATGTCCACATTTGAGTAATGGACCACACTTTTTATCTCCTATGTGAATGTTAGATTTGTCATCCTCCTCTAAAGGAACCCAAAGCAACTTCTGTGGGCTTTTTGATCAGTTTATATGTATTGGGTATGTGTTCCATCTTCATCTCCTGAAGAAAATATGAAAAGGGTGATATTTGCATTGCTAGAGTAGTGCTTCAAGTTTTACTCTTGGCACTTTGAGTCCAGAAAAGCATAAGTATAGCTCTGTGAAAGGATATTTACCTCCTTCTTAGAAGAAAAATAGGAGGACTAGAGAAATAGTTGAAAGCATGTCTGAAAATGAGCCAGGGACGCCAAGTTTTACTCTTGGCACTTTGAGTCCAGAAAAGCATAAGTATAGCTCTGTGAAAGGATATTTACCTCCTTCTTAGAAGAAAAATAGGAGGACTAGAGAAATAGTTGAAAGCATGTCTGAAAATGAGCCAGGGACGCCAGTTCCCTGATAAGGCACCCATGAAGAAACAAATACCTAATAAATTTGAAATATTTTACTTATTTTAATTTGTATTTTAGTATTAAAATATGTGCTGAGCTGTTTATGCCATCTGCTATACAGATATCAATTGGGAGAAGAGTTGATCAAACTGCTAAGGGCATCTGTTTGATTTCATTAAATTTAAAGTTCACGTTTCAATCACAGTGGAGATACCCTGAATCTTAATGAGAGAGGTTTCTTTTGTGGTTCAGGTGAAGGCATCTGGTCTTTCGACCTCCAACACAATTCAAGATAGCTATGATAAATTTATAGACCAGAATAATACTCCAATACCATTTTAGGTCCGTTAAGTATTTCTCCTCGATTGTGTTAATGTCAATCCCAGTTGGATGTTTGTGATATAAAGATGGTCAGGATGTGGTCCCTGCTCTTAGGGAGCTTTGGTTATGCAGGTGAGGCAAACAGAAACCGATGGTAGCATGTTATCACATGAGAAAGGAAAGCACAGTGCTGGGCTCCCAGGGCAAGAAGCCGGACTCTGCTGAGGGCTGGTTTGGAGGGATCACAGTAGATCTTTGAGAATGTTGCAAAATAATCTGCATCTTGAGAGACTAGCAGAAGTGGCCGGGCAAGGGGAAGGAAGCCAGAGCACATACCGAGTCAGCTAAAATTACCGATTTAAAGGCATGGAGGAGAGTGAATTGGCTTGTTGGGACCTGCAAGCAGTTCACAGTGGCAGGAGCTGTCTGGGTCTTGGTGTCAGAGGTAGGAAAGTTATGGAGTGTGGCTGGAGAGCAGGGGCCACGTCATAACCAGCTTGTTGGGATTCCCTTTGTAGATCTGACTTACTCTTGAGGCTCTGAGGAAACGTTAAGCCTGTGGGTAGCTAGACTGGACTTGAGGCTTCCTACTCTGAAAAATGGCCTGGAAGGCAGTTAAAGTAGAGGTAGTCAGTGGTAATTTGAATCATAATCTGTAGTAATCCAGGCAAGAAAAATTCAAGAATAGTGAGGCATTTTTCATTGGGATGAAGAAAAGGAACCCTAGCGCTCACTTCTGTAGCACACATGCTGAACTTGGAAGGATCGGAGACTAGCGTGGCCTCTGCATGAGGTTGACACACAAATTTCTGAAGCATTCTGTAGTTTTTATAACGATGCGGGATGATGGATGTTAACTAAACGTATTTCGGGTACCACTTCACAATATATACACGTCAAATCATTATGTTGTATGTCTTAAACTAATGCAACATTCAAGTATCTCAGTGCAACTGGGAAAAAAAAGGGGAAGGAGATCTATCTTTCTATATAAGAGAAAAGTAAAATAAACAGTAAAAAGAGAATATACAGCTTTAGAAATACAGGAGCAGAACTGAAGTCTAAGGGTGGTGACAGAACAGAAGAGTCGATGAATATCAACCACCACTGACCAGAGGATGGCATCTAGTGCCTTACAGGATGATGTAACCTAATTATGACGTAGAGTTTATCACAGAAGTGTAATTTGATTTTTAAAAATCTTGAAAGGGAAACAACTGGCCTCAGAGTTATTAATGCTCACAATCATGGAAGAAGTACGCAACAGACAAGCATAGTTATTAAGGATGCCAAGTCACTTTCCATATTATAAACAATTGATAATAGAAAAACCAAAGGCAGGGCTTAATATGGCCTCAAACCAAGTGACATCATAAGATGTCCTGGAGGGAAATACTGGGCAGGGAATGACAGCCTGGATGCCATACAGAGGGGGGACAAAAAGATATTCTTTTTAATTGTTGTTTATGTGTGTTTGGTTGGTTGTCCTCTGATAAATAGGTATTTTCAAGCCTGAGAATTTGAGTAGTAGTGGAAAGAGACACTACTTAGCTGCTCTTCTGCCTGGGTGCTTTGGGTCCCCCCCATGGAGAGAAGGGAAGTACAACATGGAGTTGTCAGTGATGTTGAACTGAGATGCGGGATTCAGGAACCATGGGTTTCAGTGGTGGTAGGCTCAGTTTAGAAGAGTTCTGTTTGGACACACGGGATCTGGGACATCTGTTTAAAGCCAGGTAGGGGACATCCACGTCAGTAGTTAGGGCTAGAGGTCAGGAAAGTGGTCTGTCTTATTTGGATGAATCATTTTCAACTCCATTCACCTAATTGAGAGTAAACCAGATGTGTGATCTTCCAGAGAATGTCACTGATTTTACTTTCTTACCCAAAACAGAGAGACTCAAGGTAACTTCCAGAAGAAGATATGGGACACATTGTTGAATAGGCCGTTCATTGTCTTGATTCTCTGATTGGAGAATTTGGTACTCTCCTTTCAAACCTCCTCTGCAATGTGATGAAAGTTGTTTCCACTGAGGTTTACTGCTGCCTCAGTCTCCATTGTCCAGAGAACCTAGTGTCCCCTACCAAGGACAGCACGCAGACTGAATGCTACACTACACTGTTTCTAGGCAAGCCTGGGGTACACATACACATACACCCCCACCTGAATACACACAGATGATTTTGTTAACCTATGTCAATAGTGCCTAAAGAAAGGTGAGGATGAAAGACTATTGAATCACTGGAGCAGATTAATCACTTTAAAACTAGCTTGGGAAAATCTTGTGTGAGTCACGGAAGTGATGCACAAGAGAAATCATTAAGCTTTGAATGTTTACTTCTTTTTTTCTGAACAATCCCTGCTGACTGAGAAATGCATGCTGTTAATTGTTAAGGCATTTTCTAGCTTTGTCAGTAAGCCACAGTGTTGTATCTTTCCACATCAGAAGAAGTTAAGGAAGACATATATATGACCTGTCCAGCTGTGTTCTGTAAAGTCAGTCTGCCAGTTTGGGGCAAATTTGTCATTTTGCCTGAATAAGATGTTCTGGATCAGCATTCTACAGGAAGTGCACCAAGCAGTGTTTCTCAGGAAACGTGGGTTATCATGCCCCACACCCAAAGTGGTCAGAGTTGTGGGTGATGTTGGCATTGGGTAAAATTAGAATTAGAAACAGGTAAGAATTCTACCAAAGGATTTAGCAACATTTCGCTCCCAATAGCATTTGCCTTCTTATTAGGATTTTTTTTTAAACATGCAGACATAGAGTAAAAACCGCTTCTTTCCTAAAACTAAGATAACCTCAATTTTCTCCATACTGTAAGAAGATAACTAGAATATGCTCATTAGCATAATTTCAGAGGAACCCACTGATGTCCAATGGGGACCTGCTTCACTTTCGTATTTTCTTTGGCTAGTACTGGCGTGGTTGGCTGTGTGTGGGACAGTCGGCCATGTGTTTTTGTTCTGATTTTAGAGAATTGAATGGAGCTCATCAGAAATGGGAATTTTGTCTGCATCACCATTTTCCTAGTCTTATTGTAAGCTAATAGTACCAAAAACTCCCTCCCTCTTTCTTAGACACACAGACACATACACACACTCACACTAAATTGTGATGTGAGTGGAGAATTGATTTATCACAGATAACTGAGACTCTAGGTTTTAACCTTTCTGGTCCTTGTAAAAAAAATGGTATTTGTTTTAATTGTATTGATCAAGAAATGTGTTTTGCGTTTCTTCAGTACTAGTTGGTATTTGAATTTTGTATGAAGTTGTATGTGAGATCAAGGAGTCCACTCATTATGAAATGTACATTTGTGTGTAAGGCTTATGTGGTTTTGGAAGTCAAAGCAGAATATTCTCTCAGATCCGTAACTGCCGCAGAAGTCTTACATGCTAAGAAAACACTGAATACATATCATAGGATAAGAGCTCTAAGTTGAGGGTTTGGCTTCTAAAAAATAACTCCAAGTGCTCAATACTTTCTGCATTTTGCACAGCCTTACACGGCAGAGGATTTCCTAGGCTTATCTTGTTAGACTGCATAATCAATACACCAAATGCTAGCGTTACTTTTACTGGAAGGCTTTATTTGTTTGTCTGCAATTTAAGGTCATGCCTTTAAAATTAAATAACATGTACTGTTGCTGATTTGTATCATTATTACTTTGCTGTAAATAATGAGATGAATTTTAAAGGTATTTCTCTAAAGTAACAGAACAATTTTAACTGGCAGCACTTGTCTTTTAAACTTGTGATTGAAATAACTTGAGCATAGGGGAATGGTTTCCTGTATAATTTAATTAGCCACTGATCTAATACGATCTATTCCCTGAAAGAGATAGCTCGAGAGCAATGCTGGGCAATACAGATCATAGCAGATGTCCTCATCATTTTACCCAGATGTATTGTAGTAATAATCTGACTTGTACTATCACCTTCAGGATGGAGATGGTTTCACCAGATCAGGGTTGATTTTTGTCCTCTTAATACCCATATGTGAGCAGAGTTCTGGATAGCGATGATTAAATTACAGCTTAAAATGCACTGTATCTGCAAAGAACCAATGGAAAGATACTGCTTCCTATCATGAGACCATGGGCAAGTCAGTGAAACTCTAAAATCCATCCATATCAGTCAAATGAAGTTAATGAAGGCCGTTCTAGCTGCCATAAGGCTGTGGTGATAATCACCAAGACGAATTAAGTTCCTATTGTAAGAGATCTATGTGAACTGAACCTGGTGTTTTTGGTGGTGGTGGTGGTGGTGATGCTATGGGTTATTGTGATTATGCAAATTCAGTGGAAATGATACTTGTACGCATGTGGAGACAAGAGGGCTTCTTTTTGATTTTCAATTCTTAGACAAACCAAGTGAGACCTCAGATATATTGTTCTTTGCATATTAGATTAAAATACAGTTGGGTAGTCTGAATATTTTCATTTATGTATCGATGTGTTTATTTACTTATATAAGCATGTAATTTCATCTTACCATCATGGAGAGTCTGACCCTCAGTTTGACTGTAAGGGGATAGACTAAATTTTTACCTAGATCTTATACAATTATAACTTTCTATGACTCTGTGGATAAGAGTCAGTCTACTATAAGAAAACATATTTAATGGGTCAAAGCTTTTATTTTCTATCACTGTCCCTTTTTACCTCTGGTCATGGGATCCCTGGCTCAATAGCAAATCCAGATAGAAAAAGAAAAAGCGGAGAAGTTCATAAACATACCATCCAAAATTATGTGGATATGTTGAATGTTAAGAGCAAACTCTACCATTGCTAAGGTGGGATTTCAGAATCTGTAATAAATGAGAGTCTACCTTTTGGGTTAATGGAAGATCTCTTTTTAACCTCAACATAAATAACCAATTACTGAGTTAGCTTCTTGTCGGCTTCTTTTCTCTGTGGTTTAAAATTTTCTGTGCTATGCTTATCTCTGAACCTTAGATTTTAATAAAATTCTTCATGACTTACATGTTTGTAAAGAGATTAGAATTGTAGCTAGCAGTAGAAAGTGCTGTAAGCATGTTTGTTAAATTAAAACACACACATGTACACACACTGTAAATAAATTTAGACCCTCATTTGCAGAACTATGTTATATGGAAGACACTTAAACATCTTATTATGTATCCACCCTTTTATAAACAGCCGCTTTATGTGTCAGCCTTTTATATAAAGCCTCTCATTTAATCTGCATAAAAAGTACAAATTCTTTCTATATTCCACCATCTGTCATACAAACTGACATATATGCAAATTATCCAGGAAGAAAATCTAATTCTTTAATTTAGATGGTCCCATAAACATTTACATAAATAAAAATTGCACACTTAATACATTTTATGATCTAATTAACAATAACCACCCAAGGGCTTCACTTAGGCTGAAAAGGTGTTCGTAACATACTGCTGCTTTTATGTCTCAGGTGGCTACTTTTCTTACTAGGAGCAGAAGTTTGAGCCTAGCAAAAAGACTACAGTTCTTTGTTTCACTTTAATTGTAATAGTTTTGCACATTAGCAATATGCTAAAACCAATAATTAATAGAGTTAACTTGAGAAGGCCATCAAAAGAGATGCTCTACTAATTTGAAGATAATCAGTGCAGAGCTGCTTTGCTAAAATGCATACAGTTACTTTAAAGTGCCTATTAACTAACAGCACCTAGAAAATATGGCATCATTGCTTATTTCGCTTCAGCCAGGTGTTGAATGACAGCGCACAGCATCCGCTAGTGTTTCACGTTGAACTTGCTTCTCTATGTCACCTGCACCTTCCAGCTCTCTGGAGGATTACACCTCAGGCAAGAATTTCCT